GGCTGGTTGCTAGTGCTAACTGATTTTCACCTTCCTTTTTAGTCTCTTATTGATTGGTTGCTGTACGCGTGCAGAAGTCGACATCACTTTAGGATTTGGCACGGAATAATAGTATTTTCAATTATTGCTCTAAAGAGTTCTCTTACAAAATGCTCTCCATCCTTAATTTCACAAACTACTACGCTAGTCACCTGTTTTTTTTTCTATTAGATTTAGTGATAGATTAGTATTCTGAGGGCTTTAAGATATAACTTGGATATTACTCTTTGGTGTAACGCATGGAAAACACAATCTTAGCAGATATTCTGTGATCATTCTTTTTTGCTCTCAACATATGTGCAATACTCTGGCTCTCAGTGCAAAAGCGTCTCCAGAGCTCTGATGACAATGTACTACCTTGTGCACTGTATTTCAGCGTTGGTTGGCCTCGCAAGTTGTACCATTGAACACAGGTGCTATATGGTTCTCAGAAGCTTTTCTGCTCGATCTTATAATGTTGTCAGTTCTGAGATGCTCTATTATCATTTGATTTTTTTCCCTCAAATTGTCAAGCATTGATAAGTGCACTGAAGATCTTTGACCTTCAATCTGAAGCATTGTTTTGTCGTTTAACTATTTTAATTTTTGATTGCTAACTTTGCGTGCACATGTTTATAATATTTTTTGTATGATATTAAGCTTCTCCTTTTGCTCTGTTCACTGTGATTTATTGTCTGATCTTCATTGAGCATACATGCAACAGCTGCTTAGTTACATAATGATTGTTGACCTGCCTCTTACAAACTGATACTCGAACGAGGGTGTGAGTGTGATTGGATGTGGCGTGTCTGGCTGTGGGCTGTGTGTGTAGTAGTATATCATCTCATCGCTCACACCCTCATCATCCATGTCTTTTGAAAAGCATTAATTTGTGGTAAAAATCCTTTTTTCTATTGACCCTGGAGCGTTGCTGTCAGATTCATGCCTTTCTTATCCGAACTCAATGATCTTTCATTATTTTCACTTATAACTGTTTAATTAGAGGGATATCACTCTATTTTTTTACTTTATTTTGTGTGACCAAAATTTTCATTTGATCGTGTTGAGGCATAGCGCTGTGGCTTAGTTTTTTTCTTATCTTGATCATATCATTTGTGAAAAAGAATGTGTTCACCTACAGTAGCAACCATATTTCGTCTATTTCAGTATACTATGTATATGTCTTTTCTCATGAGACTTCCACTCAAATTATTCTAACTGCTCGACTCTAGTCTGTGCTAAGTACAGATAATGAATCTGTTGGGATAAAAAAAGAATGCAGCAAGGTAAATTCATTCAAGTCAGTAATGGATATCAATTTCATATCTGTCGAAAACATTTGTTATCAGTATTTCCATCATATATTAGCTCTATTTATGACGCTTAAAATACTTCTTCCAGTCTTAGAAATCCTCTGAGTAGGGATGGTATTTTATCTTTACTTTACTTGGTAAAGTAAAATATAGATAGTGCCACCCCTACCTCTGAGTAAATGACTCACTAAAACGCAGTAATTAAAACCAACTATACTGATTAATTTTCAATGATGATTGATTCTGATTTCATGGAGTTTCGTGTCCGTGAGACAAGATTGTATTTTTTGTTGAATGGTTCGTTTGTTATTTTTGCTTCATAATAATATTTTACACTGCACGTCTATCTGATTTTGCTTTTTTTTTGTTATTTTTTTTCAGTTCTTGTCAACTACATACTCAACTGCGGAGAATTGCACACAACAACAATAAAACATTCAAAGTAAAGAACAAAAAAAAATAAGAAATTTAGTTTTCGTTGTTGTGTGATACGTAGAGATCAATAGCATTTAAATAGAAACGATGTTTAACGGAGATAAAGTTTCTTAGGTATCTATGAGAAGATCTGATTCTAGAACTTTCACAGAACATGATTCCTTTATAATTATTTTCGCGCCTTATTTCATTCTTAAAATAAATGGTACTTTTATCATCAATAATATCGGATAAATTTGCTATAAACTTATAAAACATCGATAATTTTCGAATATATAATTACTATTTTTGAAATTGAATGCATACATTAAAAGACAGGTCGCATTAATGTTGTTTCTTCATTAAAGAACAGCCAAGAAAATTTGAAGAAGACGAAAGTTTTTTTTAAGAAAGGTATCTATTCAGACATATTAAAAACTTTTCTTTTGATAGTCTTTTGAAAAAAATTAGAAATTGATACATATAAATTAGGAATATCAGTTATATCTCCATTGATTTACTCGTAAACGTATCAAATATTCACAGAAAAGTACCCAAGATGAATCGAAAGTTCTTAAAGAGAATATTGAACATCACGGCAAAATTCATTTTATAATCGCTGGCAATCAGAATCTCTATTGCACAGCATTTTGCATGAAAAATTGACGTGTTGAAGCATCGAGGGTACATTTTTACTAATAAAATTTGTGGAAGAGTAGAGATCAAGGTTTGACGAGCATACTGTAGGACGGAATATGGGAATGGTATCATAAATAAGGCCAGCATTATGAATGTTCATTCTCACTCTTGCTGCACTGATTTTTATTTATGTATTGTGTAATTCTTTGAAACATATATCAAATGAGATAAAGCCATTTTTTCTAGTTCAACTTTGAATTTCATTCACTTTTTTTTATTCATAGATAAACAATAATCTAATTTTGTTTGATCACATTTCAAATTCAGTCAATTTAAATAATATTTATGTTCATATAAAATGTCTATCTGTCAGAAAGAAACATTAGGGAGCATTTATTCTATTTGTTATATTGAAAAAAACAAACACTTTCCAAGTAAGATGTGATTGTAAAACTTATCTTTTGACAACTTTTGTCGGTATGCATGTGAAATTGAATCAAACGTTTACATATGTGATGAAAGTTGTTAGAAGTATAACTCTCAGTTTTTAAAAGTGCTTCTAGTTTCATATTTTTTATACATAATAAACAGTCGTTTGATGGACATGAATTTTATATTAATTATTTTTCTCTTTTATTAATAGAAAATGAAGTTGCTACGGATCAACAACAATGTGAAAGACGCAATTCGATTCTTTTTTTAGTGTAAAAGTAACGCATAAAAGCACTGCTACTGTGATGCACGTCTGATGTCTTTGTACAAACAAAAAGAGCTCGCTGTGCAAATAAAAATTCTCCGTAACGTTCATTTCATTATAATTTTGTTAGGTTTCTTTTCAGGAGTACAAACCAACCAAAGAAAGACACACACAAATGTATTTTTATGATTGTCACCATCATTATGCTTCTTCCTTTAGTTTCTGCACTGTGTGAAGTAAGGTGAAGGTAGAAAGTGTATATAAAAAGTGCTGAAGAAAATCAAGGCTTTGTATTTCTTTTTTCTTTCTCTTGACGTGTTTTCTTTTCAATCAGAGTTTTTTTTTCAAACCTACTCTCTCTAGATTTCTCTCGAGTTAACAAGTTTGAATAAATAACAACTTTTCATTCCCTTACATCTATTACGTTTCTTTTTATGACTCTTGATGTTTACACACATACTGTTCAGAGTATCCGAGAGTATGGGAGTGAGCTTTTGGTGTTGAAGAAGAGGAATTCTATCCATATTACATAGCCACAACCCACATCACACCGTTTGGTTGTGCCTGTTCCATATATTGAATGGTCTGGCGATGAAAATTGTATCTACATACGAGAATCTAAAGGACAAACCGAAATTAGTGAATATATGGTGTGAACACATATAGATATAGACAAACAAAATGAATCAATGTCAGTTTCATTCTCTCGATTTATCTCCCGACGATTAATCACGAATTAATGTATTCTAAAACAAAATTTTTAGACGTGTGGAAGATATAGATGACTAGGGATTTATGCTGAAAAGTGAAACGAAATCGACTCTCAAAATGCACTACCGTTTCCTCTTTCCCTTGTGATCATTTATCATATCCTGTTATTCAACAAATGTTGAGAATGATTTTGTAATAAGACCAATTCGACTCATTTCATATTATAATTCAATGACATCAATCTCTAAGAACATAATTAAACAAGCTTTTTCGACAATCTTCTCCCATCATGATTGATGGAAAGAATTTCTATGGAAATTTTAAATCGAAAGTAATCAATAGAATAATAAAATAAGTTACAAATTAATCATTGCAATCAATAAAAAACAAATAAATAATATTGAACATCTAATCTCAGAAAGATATAAGTCAAGCATCTCAAAATTGGTCAAAGTCTAACACAAAACTTAATTATATGCCGGAAAGACACAATTCATCTTGAAAAATCAAAAATTAGATCTAGAATAGCCAGTCAATGGAATATTTATGAATTCATAAATGTGAAACAAAAACCGAGCGATTGAAAAATGACAGCTTAAAACAAGCTGTTGGTAATAATTGAAAAATGATGGAGGAATCTATCCATAATAGAAAATATTTGCTAATTAATACAACGTCTTTTAGATGATAGAAATATAACGAGTACTTCATGAGTAATAACATTTGATTATTTAAAAATAAATACATAGAGATAACTCCAAGAACTGCTAGCAAGCATATTAATTACTATCATAATACTGCAGATATATACAACGCTGAACTAATTAGACAAGAATAAAAATGATCACAAAAACAAATTGATTTTCATATGAGGAATTAAATGGTTATTTTTTGACTAGTGGTAGAACTGTTTTTATTCTTAGTTAAAAAAGATAGATATATGATACTCACAAATCAAAAATTTAGCAGAATTTTTCTATTTTTCTTATAGTTGAGTAGAACTCGCCAAGTTATATAAGAAAAAGTATATTTAAAATGCAAAAACCAAACATTTTATGAAGAAGACTAAGATAATATTATTTTCAGATATCTTAAGAGAGAGAGACCTAGAATTTTAATACATAGGTAATTGTTTTGCATTTGAAGGATTGCTTTGTCTTGTGTACCGCAATCAACTATATCCAACCATAACAAAAAAAAACTTCAACATTTTAAATTATGAATACTTTAGCCATGGCGTAAATACTTTAAAACATAAAATTTACTTATGATATATAATACTCTGTTTTATAGTGAATAAATTGAAGAAATGTGGAGTCATACTTATTTAACTCAGAAAGATATGGAAGAAGAAATAGACCTTACTACAAATAATAAACAGACCATTTATTCGAGAAAAAAAAATTGTCAAACATCTAAATTGCTGAAGAATCACTTTTTTATTCTATTCTTTTATTTACAGTGTAACATGTTCTGAATTGTGTTAAATCAAAAAGGAGATCTAAATCAGTTATCGTATTTGACATTATCAACACATATAAATAATTGTTAGAATGTTTCAGTAAGTTTTAAAACTCTTTATAGAAATAAATAATTCAGAAGATTATCATATATCTATGTCCACAATATGATCGAGTTCGAATGAAATATACATGTTTTCTTTTAAATGAAACTAATTTCATATGAGAAATTCTAAATAACTTTTTCTCATCTTCACTTAGTTATAACAAGTAAATATTTAACGAAAACAAAAAGATACGCATACAAAATAATAGTCAATGATATAAAGCAAAGAGAAAGAGAAATGATTAGAAATATTATTTGCCTGGATTTTTAGTAAATTATTAAATGGTATGATTCATTTTATTACATTTTTTTAAATAAAAAAAATACAGAAATTCAAGCTGTTAAGAAATTAACTGGCGAAAATAATCTGTCTATGTATCGAGTTGCTTTTCAATCAAGACCATATTCATATAATGAATTTTTCTTTCTCAGATCACATGAAAAATAGGCTTTCCAGTATTAGCTTCAAATTATATATGAAAAAAAGTTCTTAATGGGACTTTTTCATCGAACAAGTTATAATTTTTCTCATATCTTCAATTTTGAAATATTCAAGTTTGGAAATATTCTCATGTCTAAAAGCAAGTTTTGTTCAAATATTCACATTTCCAACAAGGGAATACTTGTTTTAAAATCACCTAGCCGCACGAAGAACTTTTTCATGCAAAGTTTTAAGTCGAAACTCGAAAGTTAAATTTTAATTGAGTACAACGTTCGTTGAAAAAAATCAATAAAACTTCAATATCTCAACAACAAAAACCTGCAAGACTTTTCTTTCACTCACAAGTACTCATTAAATGAATCTAGTCTTAATCGAAAATTTATTGAATACAGCTTAATATGGGTATGGTATGTCCTCAAAAATTTGAAATAGATGTATATTTTTTTTTTGGTTTTGTCCTAATTTCGAATATCTTGACAGTCGTGAAATTTCTGCCAATCAAAAAACGTTCCTATCGAACACTCATCAAAGTTACAAATATTCGAGAAAAGAAACATATCAGAAGCATTATATAGAGTGCTTCCTTAAGAAGCAACTTTAACAAAATAATAGTTCCAAATACTGGAATGAATTTGCGTTTCTTGAAACTTTTTCAAAAAATTGACTTCTAAGTGTCTCTTTTATTCGATTACCCTATTAGGGTGATTTATATCTGACATATATTTTCCTTACTTTTATAATTTTTAAAAAATATTTAACGTTAACTGATTAATTAAAACTAACCTCAGATTCGGATTCTCCACCCTCGATTACCTTTTGGTCAAGTGTTACAGAAAACAAAAGTTGAAGGTGAATGTTTTTTTGACCCGGCCCAAAGTCCGCCACAAACCTTTTAGGTTTTTCTGTATCAACCTCCTTTCAGTTGAGAGAATAAAAAATAATAAGTAAGACTAGTATTCATAAGCATTTTTTGGCGAAAAACATAGCCATAGCGAATTTTTCAAAGTTTTTCTTTGAATATAGATTTTTTACTTTATCATGCAAATAAACAAGTTATCAAATACCATGTTTATCAGATAGACTCTGTTTATGATATCTGAAACTTCAAAAAAAGTTTCTTCTAGAGTTACAGATAAGAAAAAGGTGTTTTTATTCAATTAAAAACAAAAACTCTTTTTCATTCTCGAAAACTCTTAGCAAAGATTAAAATTATGATTTTAAAAATACTAATCTTCTGAAAATTATAAAGATAACTTTCATAGAAGAACATTAGTTCATATTTTATTTAGATATTCGACGAATATTAGCCGTATGTACTCGTGTACGAACTTCATCCTCCACATTTATTCAATAAGTTTCAACTATCTGAAAATGAGATATCTTTAAGAAAAAAAAAAATTTTTTTTTATTTGTATCAAATTTTGATCTTCATGGTAAAAACTATTTGGCTGATTGAAAATTCTGCGCTTTATTTACGTATCGTTAATCTAATTAAAAATGAGAATTCGAGAATTTCATTTGAAATTTTAGCTTGAAAAGCACCATTTTTACTTATTTCGATACTTTTCTTGACAATAGATGAAATTCATTTTAAATAGTTTTATTGGCAAACGACATACGATTATTGAAATATTTGCAGTATAGAATACAAAATAAAAAAAAAACAAAATGCTAAAAATCATGTTAAACTGTATTTATTTTCTAAAGAAGATCATAATTCAAAGAAAAAAGATATTCTATTTCTTCGGAGCAAAGTTTTCTCATATAACTGATTGTTAATCCAATGAAAAACAATCTACTAAGTTTTCATTTAGTAATTTTAATACAGATATACTTATCATTTAGATTATGTGCAAATCAGAATCAAGCTTCAGTTAAATTTTGATATTCGAAAATCGTCCTATTTATTACTTTGCAAATTGAAATTTTTTTTAATTTTAACATATTTTTCAAATAATCAATCAGGCAAAATAAATTATAAGACGAACAGCTGGATTCATTAATACGTAACGATACAATTGTTTTTTTTTGTTTCATTTGAAAGCTAAACTAGAAATCTAATTCTTCAGTTTTTTATGTGATAATAGTTTTCATTAGAATTAAAAGATTTTTTGAGACGACAGATTTATTGCGTAAATCTTTTATTAAATACTGTCAACTTCATAATATGTTTTGACTGTTATAAATACTATAATTAAGACTCTTTTCTATCCTTGTGCAAATATGTGAAAATGTTAACAGTTATTATTGCTTCTTTTAGATTGTAATTTTATCTTTGAGTTATAAAAAATATTTGAATTAAGGCGTTACTCATTTTGAATCTTATATCAAAGAGTCAATAATAAGTCATTTTTATTACTCATAGCAGTTCTTTTTTACTTATCAGGTTTACGTTGCAATACAAAATTATCTATATAAGAATAACTAAGTGAATCTCAGTAGATCATAAGAACAGCAATAGAATCATTTGATCTTTTATCAAATTGTATGTATTCAACGTTTGATACTTGATCAGTACTTAAAGCAATGTGGAAATGCATGATTTTTCACATTTATCTATTATGGTTTGTGATCGACAAATATAATTGTATTTCAAGCCCAATCGCACCATTTACTAATTACACACACTCAACTGAACTTCAAGCAAACATAGCTGATCTTTGGTGGACAACAGACGATGTTAAAGAAGAGATCACGTTCGAATTACATATACGAAGTACAGGTTGGATTGCATTAGGAATCAGTCCAGGTAATATATTTTCAACATTTCTCTAATTGATTAATTAATCAAATATTTAGCTGGTGGTATGCAAGGAGCAGATATTGCTATCGGTTGGGTTGATTCTTTGGGTAAAGTTACTATTCAAGTAGATAATATATTCTATGAATTAAATTTATATTTATACGTACTTATAAAATTTTATTTTTAGGATCGACATGCATTTGGTAAATCGAAGCCAATGATTGACAATACAACGCAAGATTGGTTTGCTCTTCAAGGTCGGGAACAAAATGGATGGACAGCTATACAATTCAAACGTTCATTTGATACATGTGATAATATGGATTATCCAATTAAGGTAAGATATATGAATATTGTCTATTCTGTTAATTATTATCCATTCCGATAAAAAATGATAGTGACTTTTTTTTGAATAACTTTTAATAGGAACAATAATGAGAGCTGAGGTTAATTCGTTCAAAAAAAATTTTGAAATGAAACTATAAGTGCAAATGCCATTAGATTTCGACATGTAATATTGTCCATCAGGTAGAGTCAAGTTTTCTCTTTCAATCTGCAAAAATTCTAATTTCGTCCTCGTCCCCTTTCAAAAGTTAGCAAAATTTACCTATGATCGCCCGATTTTAGAAAATGAATCTTGGAAGGTTTCAAAATGATTTCATCCAGGGATAATTAATCACATTGTATCGGATGTTAATGTTTTTTTCTCCGTTTCAACGTAATTCAAGATGACTTTCTTAGTATTTTTGAAATGTCAAAAGCCTCATCTATACAGTATAAAAACTATAGTTTGGATGATGTTCAAATTAGTGGTCTTAGGTAAGTTTTAAAACTGAAATTAATTATCATCATTTCGATTCAACATGGTGAACTTTGGAACTTTTCATGATTAAGTTAGTCAAAGGAGAAAAAAATCAAGAAAACTCTTCTAACTCTTGAACACAGGTGACTAAGAAATTTTGTTTCCAATATATCTGCTACGAATTTATCTAATCAATTAATTGCCGATCAATCAGATTTAGACGATTCTATACGTTTACTCTTAAAATGGTGGGATATTTACTTTTCTTTTGTCATTCTTATTAAAATTTATACAAAAAAACAATCAAAACTATTCTTCATTTTCAAAAAAGTATAATTTCGTTTCTTCATAAATGTAGTGGGGCACGAATAATCTAATCTTTGCTTATGGACTTATTGATCCTGATCCAAGTCGACCTGACGGTGATATTACATATCATGATACTCGACGAGGCTCTCGTACGATTCCACTACACTCATACAATGATCCACCATCAGAAGATAAATTCGCCGGTCTAGATACATTTGAATGGCCTCTAAATAATGTAAATATTTTTATC